CTAGCGCGTCAAATTGTTAAGGATGCCGGTTTTGGGCATTCGGCGAGCATAGCGCGTTATGGGGGCCTGTTACCGCAAGTAATGCAGGCACAGCAGGCGATGGCGCGTTCCGTTGCCGTCTTGGATTGTGAATCGAGTGACTCGATGGCGTCTGCGTCGGGTAAGCGTGCGCGTTTGGCCTCCACCGAGACAACGGGCGCGGTGACGCCTGCCGATTTTGGTCTGAGTCGGGTAAGCAAATAAAGTTCTGATAAGTAGATAAATTGCGTCAAGGCTGGCTGCATTGCGAACGCCTGCAATTAACTAATCCAGAATGCTTTTTTTGCTTTTCAAATATGCTTTAGCTTCAGCTTACGGTGGCTCATACGAAGGAAAACGCTTGGGTCGAGAGTACTGGCAATGTACTCATATTTTCTTTATAATTAGGGGCTTTATTTCCAATGTAATTGGAAAATATTTTTTACCACACGGGACGGAAACAATATACGATTAATTTTGCTTGTTAACCAGGAGCCTTCTTTTTGTCCTAAACTTCTTTCTTACAGTTTTCATCCCTCGTTTACTTGACTAAAGAAACTTATTCAATACCCTATACTTCTTCATCTTAAACCGAATAGTTCTTCTCTGAATATTCCTGCTCCAGAAAATTCTATATTCTCGTCGTTAAAACAATTAGACCTCAATATTTTGTAGGACCAGAAGCAGCTTGGTTTTCGAGACAAGTTGTGATCGTCCAAAATTATATATATAAACACATATTAGAAAGGATTTATCTAGTCGCTAGTCGCTTTTTTATTAGCCTCAAACCTCATGCGGCTCAAATTCTCCCGGCAGAAAGGACCAAGGTTGAATGGAAAGATACCGTGGCTGCATTGGATGAAAATAGTCGGATCATTTCGTTTTACTTGTTGATTCTTAGCACTGGGTGAGAAGGAGATTTTGTCAAAAGTACATCATCGTTGGATAATTTTTAAACTATGGTATTCTGTTAGGGCGTGGCTAATTAAATAATTAAAATAGACTTTTTGCCAGGAGTAATAAAACCAGAATACTTTCTACCACAGTTGTAAAGTAATCCCTTTAATCACAGATAGGAAAAATAAAGTAAGGGTTTCCCACCGGACCACATGGTCTAAATACACAAATTCTTAACTCAACCAACGCTGGCTGCACCTACTACATACAAATAGAACGCCCTATTTCAGAATTTTATTGAAAAACACCCTATCTCAGAACTCGTTTCAAAAACGCCCTGAGATAGGGCATTTTTGAATCGGCAGCTGAGATACGGCGTTCTTTAATCAAATTCGGAAATAGGGCGCTCTTCAATCAAATTCTGAAGTAGGGCGTTCTTGAAAAGTTTTCTAAGATAGGGCGTTTTCGAACTGGCTGCGGATATAAGTCGATCTTCCACTCAGGTATCGATATCCTCAAAATAAAAAACAACGTCTAAAATTTAAACTCCATCAATTTGTCCAAAACTAGAATTATTTTCCATCGAGTTTAGTTGATTTTTAACCGACTTCCAAAAAAGGATAACCTCTATCAGTTCGTCGGAGTATTTTTTTTTTGTTTATGTATGTTAGCGCATAACTTTGGACCACGATGAACCGATTTCGATAATTCTTTTATCATCGGAAAAGTAGTGTCCCATACTAATGTGGTTTAGTTCCGATCATTGGATCGAAATATATATATATATATATATATTTTTTTTTTTCGGTTTTTTTTTGCTAAAAATTACTTCTTTCCTGTAGTTCTTTGTAAACATATATTTATTTATTGCAATACATACCTATATATGTATGTGTATTATTTAGCAATGATATTTTTATCACAGACTCAAGAAAATAATTACAGTATTAACAAGAGGTATTAAAAAAATAGTTGTTATTAAACTAAAAATATTTTAAATTAAGTAATTAGATTGCAATAGCACGAGGTTATAGTTACATTTGTTTTGTTACACTTCTAGAATAACTATTTTAAAATGTACTATTTATGTATTTATTTAATTTTATTCTTGTATTTATTTTATTGTGTTTCAGTTTTATTAAATTTATAAATTAATTTTATTTTCTTCTTTTTTCAATTTTTTTATTTTACTTTATTTTAAAATTTGTTGTGTCGTTTTTTATTTAAAATTTTTTTACTTGACTCAATTTTTTGTAATTTGTTATTTATTACGTTTTTTGTTTAAGTTATTATTTTTTTATTATTTCAAAAAAAACTTTATTCACCTGCTTTTGTTTCTTTATTTTATTTAGTCTAAAATTTTTAGTTTTACTTTATTTTAACTCGTCCAAAAATTTTTGGTTTGATGTAATATGAATAATATATATATATATTTTTTGTTGTTATTTTATTTTATTTTATTTCATTTTGTTTTTTATTATTTTTATTTTATTTCGTTTTGTTTTATACTATTTTTATTCCATTTACCTAGAAATCATTTTTTAAACTTTATTTTCTATTTATTTTGTTTATTTTATTTATTTAATTTTTAGTTATTTTTTTTTTTTACTTTTACTCTACACATTATTATTTTTTATATTATTTCAAAAAACATTTAATATCACTGCTTCGCCCAATTCAATTTTTTGATTTCTTTTTTTGATGTAATATAATTTATTTATTTTTTTTCATTTTGTTTTATAATTTTTTTATTGGCGGCCGATGTGGTGTAGTGGTAAGCAGTGCGCGCTTCCACTCCGTAGAGCCTGGGTTCAAGCCCTGGTCAAAGCAACATCGCAAAAATTTGTAGAATAAAAGTGTTTTCTTAGCAGCCGGTCGGAGTCGGCGTAAAACCGTAGGTACCTCCCCTTTGTGTGGAGGAGGAGAAGCTCGGCCAAACATATTTATTCTGTATTTATTTTATTTATTTAATTTTTAATTGTTTTTTTTTTAATTTTTATTTTATTTTATACTTTTACTATACTTTTTTTGTTTTTCTTTCGTTTGGTTTTTACTTGATTGTTTAACTTTCCTTTTTTTGTAAAATTACATATATGGTTTGTTTGTTTGTTTGTTGTTTTTTATTTGATCTTGAATTTTTTTTAAATAATTTTATTTCCTTACTTCTTTTTTTAATATTTTTATTTCATTTACTATTCAAATTTTTCGCTTTTTTTTTGTTTTATTTTATTTCATTTTATTTCTTGCTTTACTTGTTTATTTTATCTTATCTTACTTTTTTTTTTTTTTTTTTTAAAAAAAAATTTTTTTTTGTTTTATTTTTTATATTCTTACTTTATTTGTTAATTTCATTTATTATTTAACTTTTATTTTTAATTCTGACTTGAATTGAAACAGAATCGTTTCCTTATTTTATTTTATTTTTCATTGTTCTTTCTGTAGTTTTGCAAATTTTTAGTTACTTGTATAAATTATAGTAATTAGTTTACCTTGATTTTTTTTTTAATTTATATTGTGGATAACGGTTGCTTTCTGTTATGCGTTTGTTGATCTATTTATATATTTTATGTAAGTAGTTACATTTGAACAACTCACTGCCTAACAAGCGAGTTTTTTTTTTAAGTTCCATCGCTTCATAAATAGTATACATATTAATTTAAAAATATTGCATAAAAATTACGAATAAATTTGCGCTTAAAACAAACCAGAAAAAACGCTGTTTACTTATTTGCTTTGCTATCAAATCGTTTGAGCTTGCCATTATCACATTTGCTGTTCACAAACTTTAATTCAATTCCCAAATTTAAAGGACTCAACAACTGAGGATTCGCGTTATAATCTCTTCGCTATGTATCAGAAATTTTCCAAACCACCATTCGATCTAACGGATATCAGCAAATTTAAGTGAGTATTTTTCTAGGTTCCCCACTCTCCATATTTACTGTACTTGATACTCGTAATAAGCCTGTTGTCGTACTCCAGGATTTATCTTCCTTACTAAATCAGACTATTTCTGACTATCTTCTGGGGTACTGAAACAAACTAAATAACAATTCCCTTCTTTATTTGTAGCCTCAACAAGTCCGAATATGATGACAATGATAACGATTCGCGCCTTTCATTCAGCAATTCCAGTTCACCTTCCATGCCAGTAAGTACTTTCGAACGTATTTCACCCACAAACTTTTCTGTAAATTAACTTATGCATATAATTTCTATTCACACTCACATAAAGCCTTCACAGTTTTTTTTTTAATGCCACTTTTCCCCCACCTTATTTTTATAGCCCAGCTCCCTTGAAAATGAGCGCGACCTATCCGATTCGATGAAGTTCAAAAGTCTAACCTCTTTTGCTGCCAACGTCATTACCACCACAGCAGTTCATAGTGGCCAAGAGCTGTTAGATTCCCCAGATCACGCGAAACCCTCACCCAATCATCAACAACGCAATCAAGCAAAGCTTTTGGGCTGTCCCACCACCGAATCCACCACTGTTGGTTTGCATAACAATTCACCACTAGGCGGCGTACAAGTTATCTCGGCAGCTGGTGGTCACATCATTGCTGTGGCGAATCCAGCGCTGGCACTGAGTCCAACACTCAATGAGGCGCTGAGTCTAAAACGTGAGGCGAATTCACCGGAATTGTAAAAACTATGAGAAAGGAAGGAAGAGCGTTTGAAAATTGGGTTGGGAAGTAATGGACTCAAGCGCGATTAAATATTTCACAGTTCAAAACTTAAGTACATACATAGATTTTTAGTTTTAATTTGTTCGTTATAAAATGAAAACAAAGAAAGATAAATATTATGAAATCGTGCAATTTATGTAGAGTAAGTAATTTATTAGATTACATACTTATGTACATATAGTTATACTGTAAATAGAAAAACTTTAAAAAATATAAACAATTGATTTGCACATTTTTAAACTACCACGAACCACAATGAAACTGCCTTTTATGTGTACAGTTAAATAAGGAAATAAATGTTGAAAATCATTAACTATAATTTTAAATACTTTCATTGAAAAGAAAAATGGAAAATCCAAATTCAACTACATACAAAAATAGTGTATTTTGAATAAAATCGGACCACTAAAAGATATAGCTGATTGTTCAGATATGAGATTTTGCAATATAAATCTTTCATTTATGCAGATAGGAACATGAAATTTCGCGATTCAGAGCGAATTTGCAGTGAAAATGACAAAGAACCTCAAAATCCTGACGTGCGAGAGCCAGATTGGGATTTAGCACCAAAAAATCTACAAGATACGATTTGTTTTACTCGGCTGATAACAAAAAATTTAAAATTTGTCGAACTCTGTTATAGGTGCATTCTTTTGCAACCGAGCTACAAAAGAACACTCGCTTAAATGACGAAATACATGCACAACAACAACACAAACTCGGCTATTTATCCGCGACCTGAAGGGTAGTGTTGTTAAGTTTCAAAAACTGCTCTATTGTGAATTTTTAATGAGTAATTGGAGAGGGAATCTTTGTTTCCTTATATACATGACCACGGCCGATGTGGTGTAGTGGTTGGAAGTGCGCGCTTCCACTCCGCAGGACGTGGTCAAACCAACATCGCAAAGAAAAAATATAGCAAGGGACCGGCTCCGAGCGGCGATTGTATTTTTATGAGAAGTATTTTTTATTGCAGAAATACACTCGGATGTTTGCCATTGCCTGCCGAGGGGCGACCGCTGTTCAGAAGAAAGTTTGTGTAACAACATCAAGGCGCACGCCACAAATCGGCGGAGGAAGCTCGGCCAAACACTAACATATGTATGTGTAAGCGCCAATCGATTATTATTATTATTAGGGTGGTCTTTAAATATAGGAAGCAAATTTTTACATCAGATTTCTTTATCCTCAACCCCTACTTCGATGCTACTATAGTCGAGGATATCACATATAAATTTTGGTTCCGATTGGAGACGGTTAAGGCGCGTCGCACAGGGGCAATGTTCAGATTCCTCTATGTAGACTCAAAAACTTAAAATGAATTTTTTTCACCTAATACCCAAAATCGAGACTACTTTAGACGAAGATACCACATATAGATTTTGGTTCCGATTGGAGTCGGATAAGTCGTGTCGCACAGGGGTCAAACTTCAGATTATCCTACGAAAACGTCTTAAACGATTGCAATCGGGACCAAAATTTGTATGTGATATCTGTGATCGTGGTATTACCGATTGAGGGGTTAAGACTGAAAAAATCATTCGTTTGATTTTAAGAACCACCTTTGTATACCTACATACATAGATGATTTTACCAAAAAAATGCTTACTTATACCATACATACATATGCATTTGTAGTATCCTGAATTCAATACGGAGCAATTAAACTCAATCTTTTCTCGACTCTATTTGGCTGTAACGCTCGCGACTACTGAGTTTAGCGAATATATGTAGAACCCAGTCGTTCCTCATCGACCACTTATGTATATATTCATGGCATAGCAAATCTAAGTATTCGAATATTGTAGTTTTTGCAATTCCACATGAGCGTAGGGCACATTTTTCCCCCATACATTGTGCTACTGTCCTTACTTGTTTCCATTATTTTCCGTAGTGTAGAAATGAGTGGAACAGCATTTCAACTAAGCGCCGTATAGTGGTAGTGTCAATTTTTTTATATTTACATACATATTACATATGTATATAAATGGTTTATTACATGTATACAAATTTCAACAAAAAAAAAAAAAAAAAA